CATACTTAAAACCTTTTTATTTTTATGTTATCTCGTGGTTTGAAAAACCCAAACCTCCTTTATTATCTTCTATATTCTTCCCTCAAACCTTTCTTATTTATCTCTTTCCAGATTTCCAAAACCTGTTACTCAGACTATACAACTTTCTTTTACTTGCTCAAATTGAACATTTTAACCATATCCCAGACTATATTCACTCCACAGAATATGTCTTTCATAATTTCAGCACATATTGTTGTTAAACCCAATAACTTAGTAAAACCTTACTTTCCCAAGCTGTATGGTTCATTTCAACACAGATTATTTTCTTCACTAATTTACCAATTACAATCATACTCTGTTGCTTGTTTAGTTACAATTCAGGTATTCTGTAGGACTGGGCGGGGCGGGGGGGGGTGGTGGGGGCACCTGTGGGTTTGAGGACGCATATGACTGGATCAGTCAAAGGGCCACACTTGAGGCCATAGGTTCTCCCCCGATCCCAGGAGATTAAAGCATCTCGGGCCTCTCTCGTTCTCCCAAATGGGGATAGAGACTGGTACTGCCTGTGCCTAGTCCCAGTTTATGAAGAAGTTTGTGGGGAAAATCCCTTTAAAAATTCATTAAGGTTGGGGCAGCTAGGTGGCGCAGTGGATAGAGCACCGGCCCTGGATTCAGGAGGACCTGAGTTCAAATCTGGCCTCAGACACATAACACTTACTAGCTGTGTGACCCTGGGCAAGTCACTTAACCCCATTGCCTAGCCAAAAAGAAAAAAAAAATCATTAAGGAGTTCTTAGTAATTATAAAAACTTTTAGGAGGCCTGAAGTGACTTATACTTCTGTTCAAGTACAGGAGTGGGGTTCTGGGTTCTCCCAGCCCTGTTAACAGCGTGCAAAAGGCTTAAGTGTGCAATTGACAATCAAGTTATGTTATATTGTCAACAAAGATCAACTCAAAACATTTTTCCAAATTAAGTCATACTTCCTCTCTTCTTTTTTCTACGTACCCTTCACTTTTCAGAATCAGGAGAGAGTTAGTATTTTATGATTTGTGAGTCAAGAGCTGTATTTTTCAATTCTTGCCAACATTTCTCATACAGTTTTTACAATGGTAACGTACATTTTAAACATAAACCGCTGAAATTCTAAATTGATTGCATTTAAGGCCACTTTACAGAAATCTTGATCAAAGCATGCCTTAAAGGACAAAAAACTCATTTTTCAGTTTTAAACACATTGCCCTGATGTCAGATATTGGGTGGGAAAATTGTAGGGAACAGAATACCATAGCCAGACAGTTCCCCAGATGTAAATTGAACGTAAACTACAAACTTTAGTTTTGGAATCTAGTTAAACCTGGATTTATGAACTTTTAGTTTTCAAGATCATTTTCCAATTAAAGTTTTAGCTGCCATAAAAGCAGGAAGATTATTTACTCTCTAGCGGCTGCTTCTCTGAGTTAAAAAACAAAATTTCTTTCCACACTTGACTTTAGTTAGTCTGTTACCATTTGTTACCTTACTACTGGATACCTTATTGATAGAAAGAGTAGTAATTCTGTCTTCCAAAATTGGTGGGAAAAGAGTGTGAAGGGGGAACGCCTGGAGAAAAACTGGGGCCGGGATTTTGGGGCCTGATCTTTGTCCAATTTCTGCCCCTCTTTTCCTTCCTCCTGTCCTTTTTCTCATAGAAAGTGTATTATGCAACATATTTGATGTGCTCCCTAGGCATACTGTACCAACTAAGGTATCAGTTATAGAAATGTTTTTAACAAATGAGTACAGATAATATGAGCATCTCATAGGCCAAAGGGATCCAGCCTCGAATATAGGTTAGCACTTTTTCATAGGCTATTGTCAAAATGAGTAAGATTCTTTCCCTTTTGTACTATCTCCTGAAACTTCATCAAACACAGGGATGTTACTTCTTCATATGGAGAGATCAGGAGAGAAAGGTTTATATCATCTAATAAAAATCACATTATCCTGCTTAGACAAAGGGGAGGAGTTTGTAGATGATCTAATTGCTTTTCCATTTTCTGTTTCCTCTGGCTCGTTTAAGGAAATCCCATTGGTTATGCTGTTTTGCTATTCTTAGTTCCCATTATGTGGAAAAATTCTTAAGCTCACTTAGACATAAATCTTTCAGTTTAATTTCTAACTTGTTCTCTTGAGTGGCCAGAATTCCCCTCTGAGAGGCCATGTGGGTGGGAGAAATGACTGTAAACATAAATAATCTGACAGGACACAGAGGTACTTTGGTGACAGAGTCTTCCTCCTTATCCCTAAGAGAGTCAAGTCCCTGCTAACAGAACAGGTGGGTTCAAACCTCCATCCTGCTAGGCTTTCTCCTGAAGCATGTATTTGAAAAGCAGATCGAAGCACATAACACACACATTTCTGATAGCCAAATTCTGCCCTCAGTTTGGGTTACTAGCTGTCTCCAGTCACACATACACAAATACAAACAGGGCACTTAACACTCTACAAAGACAGACAAAAATGCTGCAGCTTCCTTAAAAAAATAATTGAGAAAGGCCTTTGTAGGTCAAATTCTGGGGTACACACACACATGTGGCTAATGTAGAAATATAGATTACTCATGTGTCTTGAGAGACTCTGTTCTTGTTTCATTGTCTTTCTCTTGAGATTCCAATTGGCTTAATCTTTCCTGGAGGAGAAATATGTTAGATTCAGCCTCCTCCTTTTCAGTGTTGAGTTTTTAAATGTTTTCTTGGGGGGAGGGTGTGAAAGCTTAGACTCTGTTTCCCTCTCAATGGCTTCTAATGGCCACTGATCAAAGGAGTCCTGTTCGGAGTGTTTGGCTTTTCGCTCTGCTTTATTAAGGGACATCTTTGAATAGTTGATTTTATCCTCACCAAAGGAACCCTACCGTAGCCAGCAGTTTGGGGGGATCCAGTCCTAGAACTTGCAAGCATCCAAACTGTGCTGCAGAGCCATTTCACTGGTTGCAGTTCGTGTCAGGGGTGCTGGGGGGCAGATAAAGTATAACCTGAATTGCCTCCGGATCTTTACCAACAGTCTCCGTTAAAGAGACAACTCAACTAAAAATTACAGGAGTCCGGATTCAAGTGGGAGTAGGTAATTACTGGTCCAGCGATTGGGGACTTGGGTCCATGCTGGCACTAAGGTGTCCAGCAGCTCGCTCCCAGGATGGGGAAGACGTAATCTCTGATGAAGCCTACCACTGCCACCATTAAATATCAAGTCCTAAAATAAATCAAACTTGTAAAGTGCAAAGAAAGGCATCTTTAATCGAGATGAAGAGGGTCGTGAGCTTAGGTCACCCATCTGTTTGAGTACATCAGTGTCCACCCAAGAAAGCTTAAATAAGAGTTTTCAAGAGCAAAGGTTGGGGCAGGGGTTGTCACATGAGGAACAAGGCCTCATCATGAGGCTGTATGACCATGGGAAAGATAAGTTACTTCTCTGAGACACACTTTTCCCACTTAAAAAATAATACATGAACTACTCAAGTCATAGGATTGTTATGAAAGTCAAATGAAAAAATATATTTGTAAAGTGCTTTGCAAACCTTATGTGGTATATGAATAGTAGCTAATAGCTAGCAGATGATATGGTATTGATGATTACACTTAACTCCTGTCATTATTTCTAACACAAATATTCTTCCATCATTGATATTTGATACAGTAAATTTTTTAAAAATTTTATTAATTTATTTTGATTTATCAACAATCACTTCCATATGCTTTTGAGTTGAAAATTTTTCTCCCCCTTCCTCCCCCCCACCCTCCCCCAGATGGCACACAATCTGATGTAGGCTTTATATTTACGTTCCTGTTAAACATATTTTCATATTAGTGAAGTTGTAAGTAAAAATTAAAACCAATAGGAGGAACCATCAGAAAGATGAAACAAAACTCAACAGAAGGTAAAAATAAGTGAGAGCAATTCGACTTCCATAGTTCGTTCTTTGGATACAGACAGGTTTTTCAATCCTGAGGCCTCTGGAGATGTCTTAGATCCTTGTAATGCTGAGAAGGGTTCAATTTAACAATATTGGTCATCGCGTAACATGGCTGTTATTGTGTACAAAGTCCTCTTGGTTCTGCTCATCTCACTCAGCATCAGACCATATAAGTCTTTCCAGGTTTTTCTGAAGTCAGCTTGTCCATCATTTCTTATAGCACAATAGTGCTCCATTAGATTTATATACCACAGCTTGCTCAGCCATTCCCCCAATGGATGGGCATCCTCTCAATTTCCAATTCTTTGCCACCACAAAAAGAGCTGCTATGAATATTTTTGTACATGTGGGTCTTTTTCCCATTTGTTTGATCTCTTTGGGATATAAGCCCTAGAAGTGCTATTGCTGGATCAAAGGGTATGCACATTTTTGTAGCCCTTGATGCAGTAAAATTAAGGCTTGTATGTAAATTCTTCATACTGTATTGTAGTACTGCCTGGATTGTTTTACAAATGCTATAGTAACTTGTGAAGAAAAAAAAGAAATTTACATGATAATTTTGTTGTATATTTGAAAGGAATAGCAAGTTGTGTACAGTCGATTTGCAGTTTCATGTGCAATCATCTTTTTTGTTGTACTGTGTTATGGAAATGCTTGTTTTATTCCATAAATTAAAAATAAGATGAATTTTAAAAAGAAGTATGTGATCTAATTAAGGAAGCATGGCATGTGATTATGAATGATATTTATATAAATTGAAAAAAAATACCAAGAAGGAAAGGAAGGCAAGGAAAGGAGGAAGGAGAGGAGGGAAGGAAGGAAAGGAAGGAAGGAAGAGTTAGAAGGGTGGGTAGTGGTATCATTTTTTTTTCTCCCTGGAAAGATAAACATTTATTCCTCTGCCTTCTCAGTTATGTGGTTCTGATTGCTGTTAAGGAATAAAAAGTATTTTTAAAATTACTGTAATTTTGGTATATAAATGGCTACTCAACAACAAATAAAGTATGTCAGTATTCACGGTCATTCTCAAGTAAACTCTTGATAGTTGTGTTTGGATTTATTTGTAGCTGCAGCATGCGGATGATAGCTTCCTGGTCCTCACTACAGATGGAATTAACTTCATGGTAAATAGTCAGGAGATCTGTGACTTTGTCAATCAGTGCCATGATCCCAATGAAGCAGCTCATGTTGTAACTGAACAGGTAATGTGGCAGAGTGACTTTAGTTCTATTTTCATGAGAAATGATTTGAGAGCAATTATGTGAGATGACTGAAATTGGAAGTCTCAGCATAGAATAGAAGAACTTTATGTTTTTGTGCCAAACTGTGATTTCATTAGTGTAAGGAACTTCTGGTGGGGAAACCCCCTCTACCATTCTAGCTGAGCCACTCCTATGTAACATAAACTCAGAGAGCCAGCTGCCTTGGCACTGAGAGGTAATAAAGACATCATATGTCAAAGGCACAGCTTTAATCCACTTCCAGTTTCTCTGACTGCCACGTGGGCTTTCGAGAACAGAAAAATTCTCTCTTCTGTTTCAGTTTAATTTTTTTCTAAGGTTACTTGTATAAATGATAGATTAGACTTTGATTATAGCCATTATACAATAAAACATTTTTCCTTTTTACATGTTTTAATTTCACATGTTTTGCTTGTTGACATTTTAGAGCTATAGGAAACTTTAGAACTTCTCTAGTCCAATTCCTTCAGTTAACAGAGGGAGAAACAAACCCAGAGAGGTTCAGTGATTAGCTCAGGGTCACTAGTGCCAGAATCAAGACCTAGAGTTCAGTTGTCCTGACTTGAGCTCTTTCCCCTAAACTGAACAATCCTCCTCAGGAAAGTCCTGTAAGCTGGGCATGGATATCACATGCATCAGTTACTGAAGGGAATCACTGTACAATAAAGAGTGTATGTAATTCATTAAAAATTCTACCTTTATGGTATTATGGCTATTAATTAGGTAAAACTGATATACTGATTTTGGAAAATATTAATTAAGCAGTTAACTAGCAATAATTTTGTTTGATTTATTAGAAATTAGAAGGATTTTCAGGGAATGATTTGAGTGACTCAAATCTGTTAAGCTGCCTGTTGCTTCCTACCTCTTGGCTATTTCCTAGCTAGATGAAGTTGCTAGTTAATTATGGTATCACTGTGTATGGAATTGGAAACATGAACATATTGGTGATTCACCCACTTAGGAATATGTGGTTTTGTGAGCTCATTTAAAATACACTAGATATATATCTAATACAGTGCCAACCATCTCCTGTAGTTCTGAATAGTATGTTATTTGAATCAGTCCCTGACCATCAAGTTACAATACCAAAAGGATATTTTTATACTCTTTGTATTTATATTAGAAAAATAAACAACCACCCTAAGATTGATCTCATTATCCAAATTATCTTGAAGTCAGTGAGTGGTAATGGAGTCTAGTATAAACACCACTGAATTTAGAAGCCAGGTTTCTGGTCCACCCCTTAATTACTCATATGACCTCGAACAAATGAGTTTGCTTCTCTCTATCTGTTTGTCTGTAAAAGGAGGGGGATGGATCAGGTGACCTCTGAGGTCCCTTTCAGCTTTAAATCTCTGATCCTCTGATGCCTTCTCTTTCTGACATGCTATGATTCTGCACAATTATCTTAACCAGTTATGTGGAACTTGTTCACTCGTGCAATGGCTTAAAAATAGCAAAAACAGGGGCAGCTAAGTGGTGCAGTGGATAGAGCACTGGCCCTGGAGTCAGGAGGACCTGAGTTCAAATCCAACCTCAGACACATTACACTTACTAGCTGTGTGACCCTGGGCAAGTCACTTAACGCCATTGCCTAACCCGGCCCCCCAAAATAGCCAAAATATTTGAGAACAGTTGAACCAATGACTGAATTTAAAATGTATTAAAATGTATTTAAAATGCATCTATGGTAGTTAAGTTTGTGCGCACTTTAATTTCCTGTGTTTGTTTTTCTTCCACCAAATGCTATAGGCTATACAGTATGGTACTGAAGATAATAGCACCGCAGTAGTAGTGCCTTTTGGTGCCTGGGGAAAATACAAAAACTCAGATGTCAGCTTCTCATTCAGCAGAAGTTTTGCCTCAAGTGGACGCTGGGCTTGATAGCTTGTGTCAGATGTTTCTCTGTGATTGATGTCTGCTGAGCGTTATAGGAAACTGAACTAGATTGAAAAAAAAAAAAGGACTGTTACCAGAATCATCTTGTGACTTAATAAATTTATTGTCCATTTCCATGTATTGTTCATAAGTATGGTGTTTATCATCTGTAAGCTCTAACTCAACTTGTTTGGTATAACAGTAAGGGTAATCAGACTTCTGTGAATCCATGTGTACAATGATAAGAGGACCTCATTTAAAAACAAAACAAAACAAGAAAGGGTTTGATCTAATTGTGTTAACCATTTTATTTATTTTTCGGACAACTAGGCAGCTCTTGGTTTCCAATGATGATTTTTTTCTGCACAAGGTGAAACCTAACTGTATCATGTTTCTTTGTTCATTTGGATGGGTTCTTGGTTTTTGGGGGGTGCGTATGTGTGTGTGTATATGTATGTGTGTGTGTTTTAACAAATAAACAATGTTATATATACATGTTGCTTTTTTGAAATACTGATTACAGTAAGTGCAGAAAATCTATGCCTTCTCACAACTGCTTTTTAAAATTCTGGCCCAGTAACTAACTGGCTATTGGAACTGAAAATAAAATTAAAATTATTCACATTGAAGATGATTCAAATTAAAAGTAATGGGATATTCCTGAACTATGATATTTTAAGCCCAGTTATATCTTAATGAACAGTCGGTCTGTGGTTTTTTAATTTATTTGGTATTTTATTTTCCCCAATTACATGCAAAAACAATTTTAACACTTGTTTTTCAAAAACTTTTGAGTTCCAAATTCTCTCCCTTCCTCCCCCCCCAACACCCTCATTGAGAAGGCAAACAATTTGATATATGTTATACATGTGTAGACATGCAAAACATATGTCCGTATTAGTCATGTTGTGAAAGAAAACATAGACCAAAAAAACCCTCAAGGAAAAATAAAGCAAGTAAATAAGTATGCTTCAATCTGTATTCAGACATCATCAGTTCCCTGTCTGGGGATAGGTAGCATTTTTCATCCTAAGTCCTTCAGAATTGTCTTGGATCGTTGTTTTACTGAGAATACCTAAGTCATTCACAGCCGATCACCTTACAATATTGCTGTTACTTTGTACACAGTACATTTCACTTTGCATCAGCTCATGTAAGTTTTTCCAGGTTTTTCCGAGAGCATCCTGTTCATCATTTCTTACAGCACAATAGTATTCCAACACAATCATATAGCCCAATTTTTGTTCAGCCATTCCCCAATTGATGGGCATCCTCCCAATTTCCAACTTCCTGCCACTAGAAAAGAGCTGCTATAAATATGTCTTTTTTTCCCCCACATCCCCTCCAACATTTGTCGTTCTCATTTTCTGTCCTATTAGCCAGCCTAATGAGGTAGTACCTCATTGTTTCAATTTGCATGCTTCCAGTCAATAGCAATTTAGATTACCTTCTCATATGACTATCAATAGCTTTGATTATTTCATCTGAAAACTTCATATATCTTGATCATTTATCAGTTGGGGAATGGTTCTTAGATTTATAAATTTGACTCAGTTCTCTATATATTTGAGAAATGAGGCCTTTACCAGAGAAACTTGGTTTAAAATTTTTTTCACAGTTGATTGCTAAATGTATTTCCTTCCATCCTATTTTCTTCTTCCCTGTGTATTTTCTTCTCTCTCTCGCCCTGTCCCTGCTCAAAAGTGTTTTGTTTGACTGTCATCTTCCCCAATCTGCCTTCCCTTCTATTTTCCTGGAGGGTAAGATAGATTTCTATACCCAATTGAGTGTGTATGTTATTTTGTCTTTGAGCCACAAGAGTAGGGTTCACTCACTGCCTTCCACTGTAAAAGCTTTTTCTTGCCTCTTTTATGTGACATAATTTACCCCATTCTACCCCTCCCTTTCCTTTTCTCCCAGTGCATTCCTCTTTGTCACCCTTTATTTTTTCAACTCACACCTGCGTTCTCTGTCTATACATACTCCTAACTGCCCTAATATTGAGAAAGTTTTTATGAGTTGCAAGTATCATTTTGCCATGTAGGAATGTAAACAATTTAACCTTATTTAAGTCCCTTATGATTTCCCTTTCCTGTTTACCATTTTATGCTTCTCTTGTATTTGAAAGTCAAATTTTCTATTCAGCTCATGTCTTTTCATCAAGAGTGCTTGAAAGTCTTATATTTCATTGAATATCCATTTTTTTCCCCTGAAGGACTATACTCAGTTTTGCTGGGTAGGTGATTCTTGGTTGTAATACTAATTCCTTTGCCCTCAAGAACATCATATTCCAAGCCCTCTCATCCTTTAATGTAGAAGCTGCTAACTCTTGTATTATTCTGACTGTGGTTTCACAATACCCAAGTTGTTTCTTTCTGGTTGCTTACAATATTCTCTCCTTGAGCTGGGAGCCTTGGAATTTGGCTATAATATTCCTAGGAATTTTCATTTTGGGCTCTCTTTCAAGAGATGATTGGTGGATTCTTTCCATTTCTATTTTACTCTCTGGTTCTAGAATATCAGGGCAATTTTCCTTGATAATTTGTTGAAAGATGATGTCTAGGCTCTTTCTTTGATCATGGCTTTCAAGTAATCCAATAATTTTTAAATGATCTTTCATAGATCTGTTTTCCAGGTCAGTTCTTTTTCCAATAACATATTTTATGTTGTCTTCTATTTTTTTCATTCTTTTGGTTTTGTTTTATTTTTTCTTGATGTCTCATAAAGTCATTAGCTTCCATTTGCTCAATTCTAATTTTTAAGGAATTATTTTCTTCATTGAGCTTTTGTACCTACTTTTCCGTTTGGCCAATTTTACTTTTTAAGGTTTTTTTTTTCAGTGAATTTTTGTTCCTCTTTTTCCATTTGGCCAATCCTACTTTTCAAGGCATGCTTCTCCTCATTGGCTTTTTGCACCTCTTTTACCATTTGGCCTACTCTGGTTTTGTGTGTGTGTGTGTGTGTGTGTGTGTGTGTGTGTGTGTGTGTGTGTGTGTTTTGTTTTTGCTTTTTGGTGAGGCAATTGGGGTTAAGTGACTTGCCCAGAGTCACACAGCTAGTAGTGTCAAGTGTCTGAGGCCTTCCTGACTCCAAGGCCAGAGCTCTAACCACTGTGCAACTAGCTGCCCTCCTGGCTTACTCTGTTTTTAGGGTGTTTTCTTCAGTATTTTTTGGTGTCTCCTTTACCAAGATGTTGACTCTTTTTTCATGAGTTTCTTGCATTTCTCTTTCAATTTATCTTCTACCTCTCTTACTTGATTTTCAGAATCCTTTTTGAGCTCTTCCATGGCCTGAGACTAGTTCATATTTTTCTTGGAGGCTTTGGACATTGGAGCTTTGACTTTATCTTTTTCTGAGTATGTTTTGATTTCCCTTGTCCCTATAGTAACTTTCTATGGTCAGAATTTTTTTTCCTGTTATTTGCTCAGTTTCCCAGCCCATTACTTGACTTTTAACTCTTTGTTAAAATGGTGCTCTGTTTCCAGGGTGGAGGGTGCACTATCTGAAGCTCCAGGGGTTTTTTATGCAGCTGTTTTCAGAGACACTTCTAGGAACCTGTAAGCTTTCAGTTCTTCCAAGGTGGTATGATCTAAGGAGATGTGTGTTTACTACTCTCCTGGCCTGTGCTTTGGTCTGTGAGTGACCACCAGCATTCTTTTCTCCCCTTCAACTGTGACAAGGGTCCCTGCTCCCCTGCAGCTGCCCCTCTGGTGTGCTAGTGCTGTTTCTTGCCCTGGGACTGCCACCCAGTATTACAACCTGGATTGTATGGGCAAAGCAACAGAGTCCCATCTCCCAGTGCCAGCAAAGAGATCCATGTAGTCCAATCAGTTTTCCTACCCTCTTGTCATCTGTGGGCTGAGAGCTCCAGAAGTAGCCACTGCTGGTGCTGAATCAGTGGCTTCCAAGGCCTGCTCCTGATTTGCTGGGGTCCGGTCTTCTGTGGCATGGCCTGCACTGGACTGTGCTCCCCCCTCACCCAGGTGTGACAGACCTTTCCTGCCAACCTTCTAAGTTGTCTTTGGCTGGAAAATTATTTAATCCCATCCTTTTGTGAGTTCTGCCACTTCAGGAATTGTTTTATGGCATCATTTAAAGGTGTTTAGAGGGGTTTGGGGGAGAGCTCAGGTGAGTCACTGTCTTTTCTCCACCATCATGTCTCCTGTCCTGGGCCTATGTTTTTTAAGTTGCTTGTTTGTTACATGGATCTCATATAATCATTCATTCTATTTCTTATCAGTGAGGAGGATGCACAGTATATGTTTTTCAATCAATCTGGGAAAATAAACTACTTATGCAAAAGGTCCTTTTGCCAGAATAATATAAAAAGAAGTACTGAAGGTCTTAAGTACTATATATAAAGTTTTCTGCTCTTATCTCTTAAGTGTTTTATATATACAACATGTATATATTAGTTTTTATATTGTGGCTAATTTTTTTGTGGGGGGAAGAAAGAGTGATGACCTCATAATTATGAGACTACCTAATGGTGATTTACTTTTGCTCTTTTTTAAATTAAAGTTAGAGCCTTAGTCTAAAGCATAGATCATTAAAACTTTCTGCCTAAAATCCTGTTTGCTATGTGATTCGCTAATGTAAATTTATGGATTTTTTTTCTCTTTTGCTGTCTTATTTTGGTAAGTAAAATGAGCAGATAGAAATGGATTTCAGAATGGTGGTGAGGGAGCATGGTTGTCTCAATAGGTTATTTCTGCATAATATGTCTCTGAGTATATGTTATTTATATCTTTTTCTCTAAGTAAAAGTGTATAAATGTATACGTATTTAAAATAACACTATGCCATTGAAAGGGAACAAAATCCTGTATGGCTCTTCATTGATTTGAGTTAAACTCTCAATATAATTTTCCCTTCGGATTTATAATGCAGAGCAAGGGATCACTGTATGAGGACTGGAAATGGGAAGGTAAGGGATCCCTTTCATGAACCATTTAAGTGTTAGTGGTATTTGGAAATTAACAGATTTAGAAAAATAAGAAAATCAAAATGTTGAAGATAAACTGACATGTTGACATCTTGTTGGGTGTTAAAGCATTTTAAAATGCAATTTCTTTTGTAGGACATAAAAAAAATTGGTGTTCTAAAATATCAGGAAATGTGATGAAGGTTGGGGTGAAAAGGCATTAAAAAAGACTACCAGAAAACCAAAAAGCCATTGGCATTGCATATACCCCTAACTTAAACTTTTCCAGAATAATTATTTTCTATAAGCTTTGAAAGGCTTTATTTAGGCCCAGAGTAGTTCTATACATTCCATCTGCAGAAAAGGAAGTTTTAGTTAGGTCTCCTTACCTTATTCTTCAAGAAAAACTACTCAAAAGAAACCACCTAATTGCTTTTGCCTCTCCCTCTTTCCAAGGAAGGTACATGAGAGAGGCCAGCATTCAAGCTCTTTATCATCCCTCTCTGACATTCATCTGAAGCACAGAGAGGCAGGTTGAGGCACCTAAGTAGCTTCCTTGCTTTTCCTGAG